CAAATCTAACAGTAGAATATTTATGTCACTCTCCAATTCATGCAACTAAATGCAATAAATAAATATATCAATGCGATGTTCCATCTATTATGTAAAAAGGAAATAATTAACATTACATTTGCTAAGTTCAATAAAAACCTTCATTTTTCAATGTCGGTAGATCTGACCTTATTAGCAAATTGCTTCATTTACGAGTTGTATTATATATTGCGGAATATTTCTGAGGTTCTGCAGTAAGTAAATATATGATTGATGTGCATCGTTTTTTAAAGATATACTTCTTTTGGCACGTTTGGAAAAATTATGAAAGTAAAATTTTTACGATGCGCGCGCACACCGACAGCCAAAAAGCGACATGATGAAGTTAGCTGCGTTCCTGTTACAAGCAGAGAGTTGTGACATGCGGGATGAGATCTTTAGCTATCTTTATTCTGTTACGCCAAAGAAGTATAACTTCTTACGTGCGTACATAAGTACACACACATGTTCTTTTTTACATAATAAATTACATCATTGCTACTTATAAATGTAAAAGTTTGTATGTGTGTATGTTTGTTACTCTTTCACACTGTAAAATGTTAAAGTATTTCTAAGTATTTCAAGTACTATACTAATATTATAAAGAGGTAAAGTTTGTGAGTTTGTGAAGTTGTAAGGGGTAATCTCTGGATATATTGAACCGATTTAGATGAAATTTGGCAAGGAGATAGTTTAAGATAGTTAGACCCTGGGAAGGACATAGGATACTTTTTATCCCGCAAATGATCCCTTTTCAAAACTTTGTATTGGAAAGCGAGCTAGGAACGAACCCGAGCCAAGCGAGGGTGAGTCGCTAGTCAGTTTATAATTTTGATGTTAGGAATAGGAATATTTTTAAGCCGTTCAGGCAATATTTTTTAGAAATTTGTATTGAAATATTTAAAAAAAATTTAATAAGATCGAAGATTCCCGAAGTTTCGAATGCTTTATAACCGAATTCTAATGTTTTAGACGTTTCAAAGTTATTATAAAGTCGTTACAGACAGTATCTACCCACAAAATTACAAAATCAATCTTTTTTGAAGTAGAAATAAGTTCGGCAATGATAAGCGATTTTTGCTTACGATCGATCTTGAGATCTTCTCATATACGGTTGTCGTTTAATAAATAGATAAACGATTTAATACTTCGTACAATAAACAAAGCTTGTTTGGCCTTATACGATGATAATGACCTACTCACGTAGTGTAGGTTGTCTTTAAATGGTTTAAAGTGACACTAGAATATATTATTGAAACTAGTAAAATACCCTCACTTTACTCCAAGGCGTCGCATTCATTGCACTTATATTTTATGTCAATTTTCTATTTTTAACAAACGAAATATCTTTTAAGCCAAGTCAAGCTAAAAAAATTGGCCAAGTGCGAGTCGGATTCGTACACGAAGGGTAGGTACCATAATCGATTTTTTTTAATTAGCATGGCAGCATTTTTGAAATTCGCCATCTTGGTTTTTTTATTATTTGTTGTTATAGCGGTAATAGAAATAGACACTCTGGGAAAATTTCAACTCTCTATCTATTACGGTTCATGAGATACAGCCCTTTGACAGATTGACGGACAGACGGACAGCGAAGGCTTAGCAATAGGGCTCCTTCGGCACCCTTCGGGTACGGAACCTTAAAAATCACAATCAATCAATTAATCAATCAAAAAATAGGTATTTTACTCAAATAGACTTTTACAAGCACTTTTGAATCGTCACTTGTTATGTAACAACTAAGAACTAACTAAGAACAATAAACATGTGTTCAAAATTTAAATTGAATACCAGTATGTAAGTCTGTGAGGAATCTACCACAGGCTCGGAAGGCATTTCTGCTGAGAACAGCCCAAGAGAAGCTGAAAATATATGTTTCATAGTTATGACAAATGCTTGCTTTTATATAGAAAGCCGTACTTTGCTTATAGAGCAGTTATTGTAATTGTAAAAAAATAGAAGTAATGATATTTCAAAAAGTTAGTGCATCACTTAGTATCTTCCTCGTTTGTGTGTATGTATGTTACTCTTTCATTCTATAACAGCTGGATCGATTTGGATAAAATTTAGTACTCAGATACACCTGGAGTTACACATAAGCCACTATTAGGCAGTCTTCTACAAAATAAATTTTCAATATATTACAAGTTATTCTTCTTTTTGATAAACACATATCTAATATTACAGCTAAGGCTTACAAAATGCTTGGATTTATTTTTCGTCAGGCAGATGATTTTAACAACATACAAACATACAATCTACTATATAACTGTTACGTTAGATCCATTCTGGAATATGCCTCAAATATTTGGAATCCTCAGTATCACAAATATATTAACGCTATCGAGGACGTTCAAAATAAATTTATTAAGAGACTAGCACTGCCCGCGGCTCCGCCCGCGTTCAGATGACCAAAAACCAACTTCTTAGGTTTTACATATTAGTATACTCTTATATAGCAGTTTTTGTATTTTTTCTCAGAAATGAGACATTTTCCCGCGGTAAAAAGTATCCTATATGTTGACCCGGATAACCAGCTATCACCATACCAAACATCGAAATCCCTTCAGTGGTTTTTCTGTGATGCGGTAACAGCATTTTATTTATATCTGTTTTTATTATATTGTTAGTAAGTTTATGTGATGTATTTTGAATTTTATGTTTATATATGCTGTCTGTTTTATGCAAAAGAACCGCCACATGATTTATATATATATATATATATATATATATATATATATAGTTGCATAGCTAAGATCTTAATCATTGTCTGTAGACTGAAATATAATACGTTTTGGCAAATAATTAAAGTTTCAAGGTAATTTAACTGTTGCGCGTCGAATTATATTTACTAGCGAGTAGCGACTTATCCTTTTTTTTTTTAACGTTGGGAAATGCATTTACGCACGACGTGTGGGACTCACCGGCGTAATACAGCCAGTACTACCCACTAAAACCCAACAAAACCTTCCCCCGTCTTAATGGGGCGTCGCAGGATCGCTTACGCATTCAACTACGACGCCCCGACGGCAGGTCTGCCAAAGCAGACCACCACAACCATGGGGTTGCTCCACAGTCCACTCTGCTATCAAAGAAGTACCAGGAGCAACCCGCATGGTAAACCGCCCCCCGAAGAGGGCCACCTCCCACCGCCCACCGAAGTGGGCAACCTCCCTGTGCGTTTCTTAGCTTCGCGCCCGGTTGGATTGCCGGGCACTACTGAGCCCCCCCACCACGACAAGATGAACGCACGTTGGGGGGGAGTAGCGATTCATCCTCGCTTAGCTTTGGATTCGTACCAAGATAAAAACAAATATATCCTACGGGAACCGCACATTTTTCCAGGATAAAAAGTAACCTATGTGCTATTCCAGACTATAATCAATCTCTGTGCCAAATTTCATCCAGGTCCGTTCAGCCGTTCTGGCGTGACAGAGTAACAAACATCCATACATACTCACAAACTTTCACATTTATAATATTAGTATGGATATGTCCCTTACAGGGTTACTTGAACGTAAACTCTAAGTTTATATTTTACTCCAGTTTCTGTTATATGAGATAGATGACTTTCGTGTCAGAATTCAGAATATGCTATCGCCATTTTTGTTAAAAAATTAAAATAATACTTATATACATATATTTATGAATAAAAAAATACAATATAAATAACAACTATTTATTACTTTTATTTAATCCGTTCACTTCTTGACTTTATAATAAATTTACAAAATAACAGACTAGATCCGACCATGTCCTGCCACGGAACATTTGATCAAAAAGTAAAAAATAATATACATACATATACTCGTATATTACATGACTCCTTACAATAACAAACTAGCGGGTCCAACTATAACTAAGAACAATAAACACAGTACACAAAAAGCATCATCGAAATCGGCTAAGCCGTTTAGGAGTCTTATAAATGAATGATTTTTAACGTTTAGTATAGATTTCTCCGAGATAAGATATTTTCCCGAAGTAAAAAGTATCCTATATGTTGACCCGGATAACCAGCTATCATCATACCAAATTTCATCATAATCTGTCTGTGATGTGAAATCTGTCTGTGAAATGAATCTGTGAGTGGTTTTCTCGTGATGCGTTCCCAGACAGACAGACGGACAAAAATTCTAAAAACTATAGTTTCTGCCTCTGTACCGATAATAATGTCTATTTCAATAAGATTTTCCAAAAAATATTTAATGTACAGATTCAACTCAGTTACAATTTTATTATATGTATAGATTAAGTAAAATAGTAAGTTATGTTAATTATATAATTGAAACCTAGGCATTTATTAAATTTGCCAAATCAACAATCTCTACTCAACATTGAGACACGTACGTTATTAAAGTATGAGGAAAAAAATATTTTAAACAGATTTTTCTGCGTGTTTACATTTTTTTAAACGAACGCGAATGTTTTATATTTATATTATATTAGATACTATCTATACTAATATTATAAAGAGGTAAAGTTTGTGAGTTTGTGAAGTTGTTGGGGGTATTCTGGATCTACTGAACCGATTTAGATGAAATTTGGTAAGAAGATAGTTTGAGACCCTAAGAAGGATATAGGATAGTTTTATCCCGGAAATCATCCCTTAAGGGGGTGAAAATGGGGATGAAAGTTTGTGTTGGAAAGCAAGCCAGGGACGAAGTCGCTAGTATTTATATGTTTACATAAAATTGATTTAAATTATATTGCTAATTAAATTAGATATTGCTAGGTAAAATTCCAAATATGTAACTGCCCAAAACTAAAAAACTGTAAATAAAGAATTAAATTATAAAAAATAAACAACTATAATATTATTGAGAATTATAATATTATAATAGAATGAAAATACAGAATACAGAAGACTTCTGGCCGCACATTCGTTCTGTCTCGCCTGTCCCCCATGTTTTGCTGACGGCTGGCAAAGAAACAATCCACTCTCTATGTCTATGATAATAAAATACATATTTTGTTCGCAGAAAAATGAATTATTCTTTGGAAGAATCACCTCTCACACGCACAGATCTGACAAGAGAAAAAATGACCCGATGGCTGGAGGCGCAGCGGAAAGGAGAGAAACTGGACATAGATGTGTACGGAAAACCTTCGGAAAAACAGCTCAAAGAACTCGAAAATGTCCGCCAATTGAGTAAAGAGCTTCAAGAAAACTTACATGTGAGTAAATAAAAAAGGAAATTTTGTGTTTTCATTTCATATTTATTACAGAAATATATATATATATATATATATATATATATATATATATATATATATATATATATATATAATATATATATATATATATATATATATATATATATATATATAATATATATATATATAGGCGACTTCCCTAGCGACTTTCGTTCCTATACCGTATTGGCCGAATGAACCAAGCACTGAGATTTTGCGCTTCCACGTGATTAGTCGTAGATAAGACGCTTAGGCCGCGATCACAATGCAAGTCATTATTAGTCCGTCGTTGCATTCCGTACCGTTCAGACGTCTCTCGTGTAGTTACCTGATTTATTATCAACTAGCAGAACCCGCGGCTTCACTCGCGCTAAAACTACAAAAAACTCTAAAAAAGTAGGTTCCATACAAAATTTCATTCCCTATTTTAACCCCTTATGAGATGAATTTAGAAAAATACTAAAACACGTATACATTTAATTATATTGAAGAGCATTGTATTATGACTTGTTTTCCCGTGGAAATAAGATAATCTCCCGCGGGAAAAAGTAGCCTATGTCAATCTCCAGTCCTCTAACTCTCCACACAAAAAATCACGCCAATCCGGAAAGCGTAAATTAATAAATAAATGTTTAAAAATACCGTTAATTTTACTTTAATGTTGATTTTATTTGTATGTTGATTTTATTTTATTACAAATTATTAATAATTTCTCACTAAAGCATTAGCAACATGAACGAGCCCTATGATTTTAAAACAGTTGCAAGTGTTAATGGGCGGAGCTAGACAGTTTTTTGATCTTATCAATTTATATGCTAATGTGTAAATTTAATCCAAATCCGTTAGACGTTTTAGCGTGAAGGAGTAACAAACACACACATACAAATTTTAGGTATATGAGACCTTGATGTACCTACAAGGTATAATCTACGTATATTCAAATATGTCTCTCTTTTGGTAAAAGTTTTCTCAAAAACAGTTCACCTTCCAAGTATGGTTAAGTAGCTAACATAAATATAATATCTACTATAAAAAAAACTGAGTCGAATCCGTACATGAAATATTTTTTGGAAAATCTTATTGAAATAGTCATTATTATCAATACAGAGGCCGAATCTATAGTTTTTAGAATACATATTTGTCTGTCTGTCTAGAAACGCATCACGAGAAAACCACTGGACAGATTTTGATGAAATTTGGTATGATGGTAGCTGGGTATCCGGGTAAACATATAGGATACCTTTTACTGCGGGAAAATATCTCATCTCTGAGAAATCTATACTAAACGTTAAAACGTAACTAGGGACGAACCCGAGCGGAGCAAGGCTGAGTCGCTAGTACAAAGACAAAATGTTAATAATAATAAAAAAGTTTTTACATGCTAATTTCGTGTAATCAGTAGAATTTATAAAACAAATTAGCTAATAAGATTTGGTAATCACTTTAGATGACGACAACAACTTTAATAATAAGCCTTTTGAAGTGAAGGATTTATTTGAACATATTTTATCTTAAAGATATTATTATTAACTATAAATTACAACTAGCATTGCCCGCGGCTCCACTCGCCTTCAGGCGACTAAAAACCAAATGTTTAGGTTTTACGTATTAGTATACTCTTACATTACAGTTTTTGAATTTTGTTCTCAGAAATGAGATATTTTCCCGCGTTAAAAAGTATCCTATATGTTGACCCGGTTAACCGGCAATCACCTTACCAAATTTCATTAAAATCCCTCCAGTGGTTTTCCTGTGATCCGGTAACAGACAGACAGACAAAAATTCTAAAAACCATAGATTCGGCCTCTACATCGATAATAATGTTAATTTAAAGATTTTCGAAAAAATATCTAATGTACAGATTCGGCTTAGTTACAATTTTATTATATTTATAGACTAAGCATTTCCCATGGCTTTACATGAATTTACAATTTTTAATTTTTTTTCTGATTCTTATGGAATGAATTTTGAAAGGCAAGTTCGATTCTCGCAAGAGCTTAATATTTACTTAGCTTAATATTTCAATAATACCTATGGCCGAATTTAGCTCTTTGGATATCTATGAATAGCATTTACCTATCTATATAAAAAACTAAATGTATCAAAAAAAAATGATAGCACTACAGCTCAATCCATACTTGCATACTTAATATTATAAATGTGAAAGTGTGTTTGTTTGTTTGTCCTTCTTTCATGTCGAAACGGAGTGATGGAGTGGCGTGATTTTTTGTGTGGAGATAGATGGAGGGCTGGAGAGTGACATAGGCTACTTTTTACCGCGGGAGATTATCTAATTCCCACGGGAAAACACGTTAATACAACCCGATAAATTATTTATGATCAGAATTACTTGAAACTTGGTATTAATGCTCTTCAATACAATTAAATAAAACCGTTTTTTAGCTTTTTTCAAAATTAATCCCATAAGGGGGTAAAATAAACGATAAAAGCACTGTCTGTAACAAGTATATAACGCCTTTGAGACGTCTAAAACCTTAGTCTCTCCCGTGACTATGTGCGCTGTAAAGCATTCGAAACGTCGGGAACCAAAAATCAAAATACCTTGCTATTAACATCTCCAGGTAAATTTTTAAGAAATTAAATAAAAATTCTAAGAAATCTATTGTTAACTGACACGCTGGCGTATTTGCGGTCGTGGAGGGATTATATTCTAAAAATTAGATTCTAACTTCATACACCCATAACCTCTATTAACATTTCCAATTTCTAATTCCAGGAATTAGAGAACGCCCGAGCAGACGCGAATAACCACGAAATGAGTTCACCAGCACCCATCCTGGACTTTTCAGAAGACCACGAGTTTGTTTCCGCTAACCAACTCGACGACTACTACTCGCAAGAAGACCAAATAGACGCAAAGGAGGCTGAAAAGCAAAACCTAACCAAGGGTAAAGGACCTAAGACAGAAATCCAAAATTTTTATAAGGATCAGTGTGTTTTTTTGACTGGTGGTACAGGGTTTTTGGGGAAAGGTGAGTTGTGCATGTTTGTGTTTTTATACTTTATAATCGATATTCATATCGATTTAAAAAAACTATTAATAATCATACTACCTAAAATGTCATTGTATTAAAAGTAGTTTAATTTGCGTACGGTAATAATTACTTATATTATGACGTAAGCAGTAAGCATTGGTTAAATAAAAGCATATTTATAATAAGCGCTATTGAACGTCAAGTTAATATTTAAAAAAGAATTGTGTGAATCGACTTACAAGTTTTTAACATATCGAATAACATAAAAACAAAAAAATAAAAGAAGTTTACCAGCTCTCTTTTTGAAATCGATAAATAACAGCCAGTCGGAGTCACCGCCAAATTTAGATTTTATGGTTTAGTTAGTAGCATTGCCATAAATATATATAAAAATTAATATGAAATGCTGTTTGCACTTTAGAACAGCCGGACCTGATTTGGCAAATATTGATTTGACTCCGATTCATATCGAATAAGATTTATAGTGGAAAAAATGGAGAAGTTATCCGGAATACATATCTATACATATTTTTTATTTTCCTATTGTAATAAGTAATTATTTTTTTTTATTCTTCCGCCTTTAGAGTTTAAATTCCTTTTTGAAATTCACAAGTCATCATCCTTGAGTTATATATAACCTATTTACTAAAAGCAAATAATAGGCAATGATATCGCGTATCTGTACGCAAAACACAGAAGAATCGATTATCTCCTACTTTTAAAGTCGGTTAAAAAGAGGTCGTGGAGTCGAATGACCTTTGGTTGGTGAAACAAAAAATATATGCCATAATTAAGGATTTGGTTTTTGAAGCCACTGTTACGAATGCTTTAAGTTGTTTTGGCAAGACGAGGTAAAAAAACGCCTGTTAAATGTTTTTTTTTCTTTGTTGTCGCTATAACGAATTTAAATAGGCTCGCTTAGCAAAGCAGATGAAATGGGTTCAAGTCCCACGATTCTGATATTCTCATGTATGTAGAATAAGCATGAATGTAAAACATCTCTACTTAACATCCTGAAAATATTAAACTATGACGACACTGAAGCCTTGTGTAGGTAATCATAAATCATTATACACTAGTTAACACAGTCAAATTCTGCAATCAGTCATGAACTTTCATCCTCATAAACACACAAACACACACACATACACACACACACACACACACACACACACACACACACACACACACACACACACACACACACACACACACACACACACACACACACACACACACACACACACACACACACACACACACACACACACACACACACACACACACACACACACACACATACACATATACCAAAATTCACATACTTTTCACCTTAGATTGTAAATTGAAAAATATATAGTACTTAGCTCATTGTGAAATTTTTAACTAGTACAAATATCTATACAGTGGTAGTTATTAGTTAGTACACTTATGTAATGGAAGAGCGGTTTCTCCTAACACAAGGGCTTGTGCGCTTAAAAGGAGCTCCCAATCACTTATCAGCTATTGTAAAATTTTTGAGATACTGAATAAATTTTTTTATTATTATTATTATATTATCATGTGCGAATCGTTTTAAACATGACTACCTTGCCTTATGGTGAAGAAAATCATTATCAGGAAATGTTTGAAAGAACATAACAAGTTCCCGAAAGACCCGAAGTCCGCCAACTCGCTAACTTGGCCAGCGTGGTGGACTATGGCCTTATCCTCCTCGTATTGAAGGCAGTTTCGTACCTAACAGTGGGATGTAAAAAAAAAGTTGAATATAATATTAGAAAAAATTCTTCTATTTTTTATAGGTTTTATGTAAACAATAAGTTAATTCGTATGTTTTTTAAGATTATTTTACTTTAATACAATTTAAAAATTAATATGGAAATTAAGATATTTAAAATAAACAGGATGAAGGTATAGGTTATTATCTTGCATGGTGTGATTTTTTTTAAGGTTAAGTTTGTATATTATATTATTTTCTTAATTGGTTGTGATTTTTTGTGAGTTTTTGTTTTTATTTTTGTGTTCGGGAAATGTTGTGTTATTGAAGTATTTGTGTGTATTTGAATATTTTTTGCATGTCTGTGTGTTTTGTTGGAGTTTTTGATACGCTTTGTGTTTTTTTAAGGTAAGTTTGTTGTTTTAATTTTTTTAATATAATATTTTTAAATAAGCATCGACTATTGATGACTTATTGATATGATATTAGTTAGCACTGTCGATGTCTATCTAAGACAAACAGTAAGGACCCAAAGTCTTATTTTAGCTATATAAACAAACAAAAATCTTACGTCCTTACGTTCCAAAAGAAGCCATTTTGAGAGTTTGCATTTACCTAATTTTGATATATTAAGTCTAAACATAATATACCTATGTAATATAAATATTTTTTGTAAAACATTTTTTAAGTAATCACGTTAGACAAAAATACCTATAAGTTATTTCTTAGGGTAGACTTACCTTCATTTGAAGTTACGAAACAGATTAAATCTTGCAACTTGTAATAAAATAAAAGGAAAATCTAGAGCTATAAAGACCTTCACCTAGGAAACGCAAGGCTAGCAAATTTATTATTTATTAGCCATATAAACTAATTTTATGATACTTCGTACATGGAGGTTTCAGTTTGTATTGATCAAGGACTTTTGCCTTGTAAAGCAACAAGAAATACTATTAAAAAATTAAAAATAAATAAAACTATGCAGAATAACGACTTTGTCTTTGTGTCAAATGACAGTAAGAAAAAAAATGTTTTTTTTTTTCATTTTAATTAATAAGAGAATTGAATTGAAAATTTTGTTTTTATGTCAAAAATAATATGCTATTAATGATTTTGATAAATAATATACATTTTTATTGTAATTTTTTATTAAATAACGTTTTAAATACTTTTATATCTTCTATGGGTAAAGTGATCTTAGATAGTCTAAAACCTTGCTCGATAAATCCTAATATTATAAACGCGAAATCTTGTGAGGATGTAAGGTTGTATGTTTATTGTTTAAAATAAAAAAAAACTGACTTATACTCTCATTCGCTCATAAACTTTCATAGTTATTATTAACCGAAGCGAAGCTTCGCTTCGGGTTCGTCCCTACATAAAAACGAATCTATCCCACGGGAATTATACATTTTTCCGGGATAAAAATAACCTTTGTGCTATTCCAGACTATAATCTATTTCTGTGCCAAATTTCATCCAGATCTGTTCAGCCGTTCTGGCGTGAAAGAGTAACAAACATACATCCATGCTCACAAACTTTCACAATTTTAATATTAGCATGGATATCAATCCTACAAAAGAATTTAATAACAATTTACAAAAACTATGTACTTTTACGTGTAAATTATAAACATGCGTACAATAAATCCGTATGCCTGGATAAAATAAACAAAAATATATTCTAATTTTTATTATATATTATTTTTTCAGATGGAAGAATAAGTTTGAAGGCGAGTCGTGTGGTGGAGAAGGTCGTCCTGTAAAGCTCTCATATTGTCTTAAAATATATACATATTTATTCAAGGTGTTTGTTTATATTAAATCATGAAATATTATAAATTGTTTTTTTTCTTTTAATTATGAATTACATTAATCCTTATAAGTAGGGTAGTTCTCCCATTTCGTGCAAAATTATACTTTTACTAGGTACTCACCCTCACTTCGCTCGGGTTCCCTGTACAAACTTTCATCCCAATATTCACCCCCTTAAGGGATAATTTCCGGGATAAGAATTATCCTATGTCCTTCCCAGGGTCTCAAACTATCTTCTTACAAAATTTCATCTAATTCGGTTCAGTAGATCCAGAGATTACCCCCTACAACGTCACGAACTCACAATCTCACAAACTCACAAACTTTACCTCTTTATAATATTAGTGTAGATAAAAAAAACAAAATTGACATTTTACCACAATAACAATGTCGTGCATAAAAAAAATTTATTATAATATTTTACATAAAATATGACAGTGAATTATAATTTATTGAATGAAGTAAATAATTTAAATAAAGTTTATAAATCAAATTTTCTTTTCCGTTGCATAACAAATTGTTTTTAAATATTTACAATGATGGCCTTGATTTTTAACTTAAAATACGAGTATGTTGTGAGTTTGTTTCCTTTTTCTTTTAATGATTAAGATTTAAACAAAATTATTTATAACTGCATTGCCCGCGGCTTCGCCTGCGTTCAGACGACCAAAAACCAAATTCTTAGGTTTTACATATTAGTATACTCTTACATTGCACTTTTTGTATTTTTTCTCAAAAATGAGATATTTTCCCGAAGTAGAAAGTATCCTATATGTTGACCCGGATAACCAGCTGTCACCATACCAAATTTCATCCAAATCCCTCCAGTGGTTTTTCTGTGATACGGTAACAGACAGACAGACAAACAGACAAAAATTCTAAAAACTATAGATTCGGCCTCTGTATCGTTAATAATGTATATTTCAATAAGATTTTGCAAAAAATATCTAATGTACAGATTCGTCTTAGTTACAATTTTATTATATGTATAGACTAGCAACTCACCCTCGTCGCAAGCTCGTCTTCGTCCTTAGGTAGGTACGTTCTAACGTAATAAGTATGGAATAGATCGACTATATATACAATTGCATAGGTATGATGAGTTGTTGTGAGTTGTATTATAACGTGTTTTCCCGTGGGAATGAGATAATCTCTCGCGTTAAAAGTAGCCTATGTCACTCTCCAGCCCTCCAACTATTTCCACACAAAAAATCACAACCCGTCACTCTCTTTCGACGTGAAAGAAGGACAAACAAACAAACATACACACTTGCACATTTATCTTTATATATATAATTCTTCTGTGAGTGTGTATGTCACTGAACTTCTCTCAAACGACTGGACCGATTTTGATGAAATTTTTTGTGTGTGTTCAAGGGGATCTGGGAATGGTTTAGATTCACAATTTAAATAATAATTTTCATCAAAAAAACTATTAAAAAAAGTTTGAAATTTTCAAATTAAAGACGTGTAGACAGGACAACGTCTGTCGGGTCCGCTAGTAATATTATATAGTAGTAGTTATTTCATAGTACTGTCTGGTTAGAGTAAGATAAGTAAAAGCTAAAAATCATAAAAAAATATATGATTCCGGCCAGGATCGAACTGGCGGCCTTCTGCGTGTAAAGCAGATGTGATAACCACTACACCACGGAACCGAATGCATGTAGTGACGAAGTTTTAGAACTGTCATTAACTTATGCCTTTAGAGAAAGTGAAATTATTAAGTACATAGAGTATCTTATCGTTGTATGAATACCTACTAAAAAAAGTGTGTGTGTACTTATGTACGCACGTAAGAAGTTATACTTCTTTGCCGTAACAGAACAAAAATAGCTAAAGATTTCATCCCGTATGTCACAACTGTCTGTTTGTAAAAGGAATGCAGCTAACTTCATCGTATCGCTATTTGCATGGTAAAAATTATACTCTTATAATTTTTTCCAAACATGCCAAAAGAAGTATATCTTCAAAAATGTAAAAATATTAAAAATATAATATAGTTTCTAAAAAGATACAATTTTTTTTGTGAAATAACAGACAAAAGTTATTATCTTCATTTGCACATTCGCTACGCTTCATTTGCAGTGTGCGCGCGCATCGTAAAAATTGACTAATACCGTTTACCGTCTCTGACACACCCTTCTCCTCCAGTTCAAGGTTGTCTGGAAGAGATCGCGTTTAGCGATAAGCCTGCTATGTATATCTATTTTTTTGTATATTAAGTTTGTTATGTTGGTTTGTTTTATAAGGTGTACAATAATACAGAGTATTATCTATCTATCTATCTAATAGTATAAGATATTGACAGTAAAACTTCATTTAAATTTTATTTAAAAACTAACGGCTTATCCTCGTTTCGCTCGGGTTCGCCTCTAGAAAAGCACAAACAGATCTATCCCACGGGAACAGTTCATTTTTCCGTGATAAAAAGTAACCTCTTGTTTGACCGGTAATATAAGGTATCAGCATGCCAAATATTACAAAATTAGGTGAATAAGTTGTTGTGTACTAAGCTGTATAAGTTACTATAGTTTTTTAACTATCCCATGGGAACTCTTTAATTTTCCGGAATAAAAGTATCTAATATGTTGACAGGGGATATAAGGTACCACCATGCAAAGTATCATTTAAATCGGTCCAACAGTTTCGGAGATTAGCCCGTACAAACAGACAGACAGAGAATCAAAACAATTAAAAAAAACTGGTTTTGTTCTATTTCTCTTCTTACATCCTCCTGGCTCGGTTTTTAGCATTTCTTTCTACGTAGGTACGTACGTACGAGAACAAACTTTTAAGAATACCTACTATAAATTTCTTAAAAGATTCACGCGTAGTCGGATCAAAAATGAATACGTTTTAGAAAGAGTAAAAATTATGGAAATATCCCCGAATATGTGTGTGTCATTAAAAGAAATAAATTTAAGAGCTCTTCAAGTATTAAATAATGACACTGAAGTAGAAAAAAAATGGCTGATATATTGCTGTAAAAGGTCTAGTGCGAGTCAAACTCGCACAAGATAATCGTTTTTTTTTAATTAGCATGGCCGCCATTTTAAATTCGCCATCTTGGTTTTTTATTATTTGTTGTTGTAGTGGCAATAGAAACATTCTGTGAAAATTTCAAATCTCTACCTGGTATGGTGCACAAGATACAGCCCGCTGACAGACGGACGGACAGCGGAGCCTTAGTAAAGGGTCCGGTTGGCACCCTTAATTTAAACCCTTAAACCCTAACCCTTTTATATTGAAATGACACATCCAATAAATAAAAATCTCGTGTCACGGAGTTTATGGCCGCAGTCCTCCGAAATGGCTTGACCGATTTTAGTAAAAATAATTGTATATTACTGCATTACTGCTATTTATGTTATATTTTTTTCGATTTTCATACTTAAAAAATTGTAGGTAATGGATGCTCGATATATTATGTCTCAAAAGAGTACCTTTCACTTTGAACCAACGCTAGTTCTAAAACTTCATCTCTACATACCGTGGGTTCCGTGGTGTAGTGGTTATCACACCTGCTTTACACGCAGAAGGCCGCCAGTTCGATCCTGGCCGGAATCATTGTTTTATGATTTTTTGCTTTTTCTTATCTTATCCTATGAGTCTTAGATATAAAAGAACTTTTACTGTGACAATATTATTGATATATATTATAGTCATTGTTTATTACAATTTAAGGGAAATTTCGTTACCTTAGTGCTTATTAGTTCAAACCACCAATATTTTACAATAGACAGTTTTAACATTGAAAATGTTTTTTTGTCGCCTCAGTATAGGCCCGATTTTCAGCGAAAGTGCCACATCGCCCTGGAGTCGTGAGTTTTGGGACCACGAGGCTGATTGGGAGTTCAAAAAATGCGTTTCGACAAGGTCTACAAAATGCAAAACAATTTTTTTGCAAAACTTTTTTTTAAATCGACATAAATTGAAAAATACGCTCGTTTTCCGTCCGGTTTCGATCAAAAAAATTTATATTTCAAAAACGAAATGAGATGTCGAAAAAAAGCCCTACAGATATGACTTTGGGCTACATTTAAAAAAAAATAGATGTGCGTGCGTTTTGACAAACAGAGAGTTGTGACATACGGGATGAAATCTTTAGCTATTTTTGTTCTATTACGACAAAGAAGTATAACTTCTTACGTGCGTACATAAGTACACACAAACATTTTTTTTTCAAGTATAATCTGTATTTAATTAATACCAATAGTATTGACATTTAAAAGTCAATAATTCTGTATTAAAAACTCCTTCGGTAAATTGGTAACTCACATCTTTACATGCTCTTTGAATTGGTCGTTTGAACAAATAAGCTCTGAGTCGATAATTTGTTGAAATTTCCATCTCCTATTTCAACTATTTTATGAATACTCTATTATATAGAGTGAATTAAAACATAATATTGATATGAAATTAACAATATAATATAATATCTAAAAAATGCGAAAATATGTCCGTTCTTTACCTGTTAAAATACCTACAAGGTCGTCAGTTCTATCTTAGTCAGTGCCATAGTTTGTTTTTTACTTTGTAGATTAAATTTATTCGGTCTTAATAATATTATAAATGCGAAAGTTTGTGAGAGTGTATGGATGTCTGGGTGTATAGATGTATGGATGTTTGTTACTCTTTCACGCAAAAACCACTGAATGGATTTTAATGAAACTTTACAATAATATAGCTCATACATCAGAATAACACATTGGCAACTTTTTATCCCGGAAAAATATACGGTTCCCGTGGGATAGATTTATTTTTGTTTTTCTAGAGGCGAAAACGAGCGAAGCGAGGGCCAGTCGCTAGTGTACATATATATTTTGACATGGCTATATTATTCTTATAAAGTGTGTTACTTTTGACAAGGCGTTTGAACTATTTGCTGATCTGATTTAAATGAGATTTGAGATAGATAGATATAAATCTTATTGTAAACCACCAAAGAAATTAATAAATATATATTTAGATGAAGCACAGGAGGCGGCGTTATAGCAAAGTCATCAATCAATAATTCAATTAAAATCTGTTGCGTGGCTGAGAAGAACTAAGCGGAGAAACAGACAGGCAGCGACTTTATTTTATACTAGCATTGAGCGCTCAATGCTAGTATAAAATGAACAAAAACCAAATTCTTAGGTTTTACATATTAGTATACTTTTACATTGCAGTTTTTGCATTTTTTTCTCAGAAATGAGACATTTTCCCGCGGTAAAAAGTATCCTATATGTTGACATATAACCGGATAACCAGCTATTACCATACCAAATTTTATCAAAATCCCTCCAGTGGTTTTTCTGTGATGCGGAAACAGACAGACAGACAGACAAAAATTCTAAAAACTATACATTAAGCCTCTGTATCGATAATAATGTCTATTTCAATAAGATTTTCCAAAAAATATTTAATGTACAGATTCGGCTTAGTTACAATTTTATTATATGTATAGACTAAGTATATATAAATACATTATTTTGTTACAGTTCTAATAGAAAAACTATTGAGATCATGTGGAGATATCGACACTATATACGTGCTGGTGAGGGCTAAGAAAGGCAAAGATCCCACCACAAGGATTCATGACATGCTCGATGAGTTTGTAAGTAAAATTGTATTCACTAATAATTTCTAAAATAATTTTATATCCCACTAGCGACTCACCTTCGCTTCGCTCGGGTTCGTCCCTAGGTTGATTCCCCGTACAAATTTTCATCCCCATTTTCACTCACTTAAGGGATGATTTATAGGATTAAAAGTATCCTATGTCCTTCCCAGGGTCTCTATCTTCTTACTAAATTTCATCTAAATCGGTTCAGTAGATCCAGAGATTACCCCCTACAACCTCACAAACTCACAAACTTTACGTCTTTATAATATTAGTATAGATTGATCAATCTGGGAGGGTAACCATGGGGTTGTTGTATTATCTCGGGGGAAATTTTGTTCCTGCATAACCATGTTTTGTACATAGATAAAACATATGTTCTGTTATTATGTAAAGGAAATACTTTTTAACTATTCAACGTTTTAGTGGAAAATAATTGAATGTTAAAATATATATCTATAGAAATTGCTCTAGATACGAGATATTTTTCCTTATAACTTAATTTATAATCAAAGGTACAAGTATAATGTACTTTGCTGATATAATTAATGTTTAACAAATGATATACCGACTTCAAAATCAGTGAAAATCCATTATTCCACTCTTTTGAGGGGAGTTTTTTTGAAAAAATGTGACCATCTTTAAGGTATAACTATTTAAAAAAAAATACAGAAAAACAAACCAACACACACAAAAAAATTCAAACGAATTGAGTAGGTACCTATTCTTTTTAGCTGTCAAAAAGTTCAATTCTCCATTCAATTTTGTTGTACAAATCGTGCTAGTTGAGCACAGATTACTGGTTTTATAAGCGTAAATATTATATATTTTTTTATTTTTAAACCAACAGCGAGATAACTTCTCGTACTAAGGTCAATAATAAGCAAACTACATACGTACGTGTCTAAAATAACAAGTTGGGTGTTTAACCTTTTAGTAATCTGACCAAACAAATTTGTTTGAACTGGTTAATCGTGAGTGGATTCAATCATATTCAGTACTAGCGACTCACCCTCGCTTCGCTCGGGTTCGTCCCTAGCTAGGTTCCCCATACAAACTTTCATCCTCATTTTTACACCCTTAAGGGATAATTTCCGGGATAAAAGTATCCTATATCCTTTCCATGGTCTCAAACTATCTTCTTACCAAATTTCATCTAAATCGGTTCAGTAGATCCAGAGATTACCCCCTACAACGTCACAAAGTCACAAACTCTTTATAATACTCGTATTAGTATAGATATCGCGTCTCAAAAGTGTCCTCGAAAAGAAGTGCACAATTCGAAATTGAATTTGCGCTTTTTTCAAATCTCTTTTGGTCATTGCTTTTCGGATGACAAAATTAAAACGCACGTTGTTTCGATTAAAAAAGTATTCTATGTGGTATGCGTAAGTTCGAATTTGTGTTCAGACAATTAGAAATTTCGATTTTTGAATTTTATTCTTTGGTTTGACTTAACATCACATTTCGACGTCACTTTTTGGAGAGATGATAATATGTTAGGAGAGATATGTATATGTTAGGAAATGATTATGTATGTTTTTATATATATATCAATCGTATAACGTTCTATTTTAACCCCCAGACGCAAAAACGAGGATGTGTTATAAGTTTGATGTGTCTCTGTGTCTGTCTCTGGCGTCTTAGCTCCCGAACCGATGAACCGATTTTGATTTTGTTTTTTTTTGTTTGAAAGGTGAATTTTGTGAAGTCGGGAGTCTTCTTATCTATGTTTTATGGAAATCGGTCCAAGATGGCCGCCGCCACAAAATGGCGAATTACATATCGGGGTTTTTTTTTAATTTTAAACTTAATTTTTAAGTAAATTTAAAGCTACAGTTATTTATACACATGTTATGAATACTTGCTACGCTTAGTCCCAGAAGATAGAATAGAGTTATTTAGTGGGAAAGAAAAAGAGTTTTACTCAACAATCTTTATATTTTAATAATTGTTTACCTTTTTTTTAAGTAGTCTAAAGTGAATCTTTTGTATTTTTACAGGTATTTCAAAGGGCTCATGAGGAAAATCCAAAAGGCATACACAAAGTGATACCTATAGTAGGGGACATGGAACTGCCCGGCATTGGTCTTAGTAATGAAGATAGAAAATTGCTAATTTCTAGGGTAAATATAGAAAAAATATTCTCCTACTCCTCTTTCTTTATAGGCCCCTTAGGCCTCGGTGGTCTAGTGCTTCCGGAGGTCCTGAGTTCGAGTCCCGGATCGGGCCTAGAGCATTAATTGGGTTTTTCTATCAGAAAATATCAGCAATAGCCCGAAGATGAAATGCGGTCCTACGCCTGATCTCTCACCGGGCATGTCTCGTGTGGTCCCACCGGAGTATAAGAGTGGCAGGAATAGAGAGTGCACTTGTGTCTGCACTATAATATCTCCTGCAGCTAGCTAATATCAGTGAGATTAGCCGCAATGGCCGAAATGGATCAGGAGGGCATCATATTAATTAAATTAATAATTTCTAGGTAACAATAATAATAAACTCAGCGGCTACGGTGAAGTTCGACGAGAAACTGTCCACCGCAACAGGAATTAACGTCAGAGGAACCAAGGAAGTGATAAAACTTGCGAAGGAATGTAAAAATTTGAAAGCCATAACGCACGTGTCGACCGCCTTCTCTAACACTCATGTGGAAAATGTTGAGGAAAAGTAAGTTTTGTTAAGTATCTAACGAGTCCAGCTTAGCTTCTTAGTGGAAAATTTCTATTTACTCTGTGCCATAAACGTCATAAAACTCTTCTATCTCGGAAACCAGGATAGAAAAAAGCCACACTGAATTAATTACCTGTTATTGAAGTTTTTATTAAAATAATAATTTAACCCGTTTTTTGTTTATCCTTTATTGGAAATGTAAAGGAAGTTATGCTTTCACTTTTGAATCTTCTATTCATAAGTTCCGGAGATTGTGGATGTAATCAGACAGACAGACAGAAATTTTCCTAACGTTTATTTATGCCTTTATATCGTGTATGTATAACGAGTTCAATATGGCAAAGGTTTTATGTAAGTACAGATATTTTAATTATAACTTTAATTAATTATTTATATATTAGCCAGAATTTGTTGAGTTATTTTTAAAAATGATTCCTATTGCGCTGAATCTTCCTAAGTAGCATTCAATTTGTGGAGAATAGTGGCCATGTGTGAAAATAGCTTTTTAATTTGTTTTAGATTTTACGACCCCCCAATGTCTGTAGATGCGCTAGAAGCTATTTCGCAACTGGACGACGACTTGATTGAATCCATCTTGCCTGCGTAAGTATTGACAATAATATATTTATACTGTATACATATTACTTTACGTGACCTTTATAATTGGTACTAGCGATTCACCCTCGCTTCGCTCAGGTTCGTCTCTAGGTACGTTTTAACGGTTAGTATGGAATAGATAGACTATATAATATATGATATATTAGCCTGTATCCTTCCTCAATAAACAGGCTATCTAATGCAAAAAGAATTTTTCAAATCGGATTAGTAGTTTCTGAGATTAGCGCCTTCAAACAAACAAACTCTGCCTCTTTATAATATTAGTATAGATTAATTATTGTATCACTACTGCGTCTGTTGTCTAGTGGGTAATATGTACAGCTGCACATTCTGAGACCCTGAGTTCGAGTCCCGAGCCCAAGATTTGTTATTGAGTCTTTCTGTATAGAAAGCGTTAGTAACAGCTTGGTGTTGAAAAGTTGACAGACAGACATACGGATAACGAAGTGATCCTATAAAGGTTCCTTTTTGTTTTGAGGTACGGAACCCTAAAAATGAAAATCAAGATTTATTATATATATATATAATAAATCTTTGCAAAACAGCACGGAAGGAGCTTCAAGGCTATATTTGGATTAAGCAGGCTATTTATTGCCTTGATAATAAAAATTACTTTAATTACTTCAAGAGTATGTATGATTAAAAATTAAATAGCTGATTTCTTTTAACGACGCCATTTGATTTTAGATATATTAATAGTAAACGTTTGTAATTTTTTTAGCTTCCAAATTTTAATCTTAGAAAATATTAAAATAAGCCATTACGAGGCTAAAAACTTAAAACAATAAAGAAACAGTTGTTATTTTTGGATATTCAAATTAATTGTTTGAGCTTAAATTAAAATTTGTAAATTAAAGCTGTTTACATTTATCTAGTTTTGACATCTATCGGCACTCTGAGCATCAATATTTATTTTCATATGGTTTATTTATCACCAAAACACATGAGCTGCGCAAGCACAGTATTAAATATAAATACAACTTAATTAACATAAAAAACCAGACTTCAAAATAATAATAAATTGGCAGAAAAATGACTGTAAGAGTAATTATTCTAGGCCTAAACTCTAGGGTTGGAATTTCAATTTTTTTGTGTGACTTTGATGTGTCGTACCTATAATCTATTTTATTTACTAAAAAAAGATTCATTCAAATCGATCAACTGTCGACAAAAATATCGCATAAATTACCAAAAGAAAGGACTTAATTTAATACCTACAGGCTACACATCTAAAAAGGCAGTGGTAGCGCAGTGGTAACGAGCTTTCTTGGGAAACCAAGTGGGTTCAAATCCCGGGTCTCGCACCTCTGATATGTTCATGTGCAAATCATTTCCAACATGATTACCACTTGTCTTACGGTGAAGGAAAACATAGTGAGGAAACCTGAATGTCTGAGAGAACCTAGCAAGTTTTCGAAAGGCATGGAAGTCCGCCAACCCGCATTTGGCCAGCGTGGTGGACGTATTTAGGGGAAACCCACTCCCAGCAGTGGGACGTTAAAAAGGACTAAATACCTACAATACATACATAACTTTTTGAAGTCGGTCAATAATAGTGTCCTTGCCATATATATCATTATAAAATAACATTGATGATGAAAAAACAAACATCCTAATAAAGAACCTTGATAAATTCTATATTGAAATTATAAAATACTACAAATACTATTTATTCTTGTAATACCAATTTTTATCTCTATTTTCTAATATACTTTTAATGAAATAGTACAATAAATATAGAAGTACACTAGCAGTAGCAATAATCAACAATTTAAATTTATTTATTGCCCAGAAAATAGTCTTTTATGAAAATTTTGTGTCACACCGACTGAGATAAAATAGGTACATATGAGATAGATACCGCTAGTCATAGTAGTTAACAAACACACGTAAAGAAGAATCATATATATATATATCATTCTATTTATAACTGTGCGTTCACATCCCTTCCACTTCACACTTTGATATTTCCTATATCTGAAGGTTGCCTGGAAGAAATCGCTGTTTTAGCGATAAGGCCGTCTCTTGTACACTTTCCTGTTATTGCATTGTTTCTGTCTGCTTTTTGTGTGCAATAAAAAGTTTTAATTATTATTATTATTATTTCCAAGCTCCTCATGGTGACTTTCATTCAATAATTATTTTTTTATTTTTCTTACCCAAGAACTATCAACTAAAAGATGGTTTACAAGCGTTTACCCGTGTATATGTTGACCCGGATAGCCAGCTATCATCATACCAAATTTCATCAAAATCCCTTCAGTGGTTTTTCCATGATGCGGTAACAGACAGACAGACAGATAAAAATTCTAAAAACTATAGATTCGGCCTCTGTATAGATAATAATGTCTATTTCAATAAGATTTTCCAAAAAATATTTAATGTACAGATTCGGCTTCGTTACATTTTTTTTATATGTATAGATTTACTATATACTATAACATAATATTATTATATACTAATAAAATTTAAACTTTTCAGACTTTTAGGCAAACGTCCAAACACATACTGTTTTACCAAAGCAATAGCAGAAGAAGCTGTTAGGAAGTATGGAGAAGGATTGCCTATATGCATATTTAGGCCTTCTATAAGTAAGTATTACATGGTCTTTGCTTGTAAGAAACTGTTGATTCGATAACACATAAGTTGAATGTATGTATGGATCATGCATATATTTTTTTATTCGCATTTAGTATTTCAAATTTAGTTTATAATAATCAACAAACCCGCCAACCCGCAGTTAGCCAGCGTGGCGGATTTTGACCTGAGATCGTATTGAAAGAAGGCCCACCCCCAGCAGTGGCACTTTAAAAAGGGCTGAATACTTATATATCTAAGGCAATCGTTAAATTATACTATTTAACGGTTTAAGAACGTAATTATATATTTTAAATTAAATTTAAGTAAATACCATCCACTACAAAAAATAGTGCGTGATCAATAATATACAACTACTGACAAATATAAACATTCACGTTCCCTGGTAATCTATTACTATAATAAAATAGTAGAGGTCGAATGTCTGTACATAGCAAAAAATGCTAAAAACCGAGTCAGGGGGACGTAAGAAGACAAATAGAACAAATCCAGTTTTTTTTTCAAATTTTTTGTTTCTCTGTCTGTTTGTCTGTTCGTACGGGCTAATCTCCGAATCTATTGGACCGATTTAAATGAAATTTTGCATGGTGGTACCTTATATCCCCGGGCAATATCTTAGATACTTTTTATCCCGGAAAATTAAATAGTTCCCGTGGGATAGTTAAAAAACTATAATAACTTATACAACTAATGTACCTAATATAGTAAAATTTAACATACCTTATATTGCCGGTCAAACAACAGGTTACTTTTTATCCAGGAAAAATGAACGGTTCCCGTGGGAACTAATAGATCTCTATTTGTGTTTTTCTAGAGGCGAACCCGAGCGAAGCGAGGGTGAGTCGCTAGTCATATAATAAATATAAAAATCAGTTTTAAGCATCCAGAATATTTTCTTTTTCAGTTATATCTACCTATGAAGAGCCAGTGCGAGGATGGACAGATAGTGTGTACGGTCCCACGGGATTGGTGGTTGGGATTGGTACTGGAGTAAGTAGATAATAGTCTTCTTTCTTCTTACGATCCCCGAACTTATTGAACGTAACAATACTATAGGTACATACAAAAACAATTAGCTAAATTTAAAATGTCCTAATTCTAAATTTAACATTTATCTTTGACTAGCATTGCCTGCGGCTTCGTCCACGTTCAGACGACCAAAAACCAAATTCTTAGGCTTTTACATATTAGTATACTCTTACGTTGCAGTTTTTGTATTTTTTCTCAGAAATGAGACATTTTCTCGCGGTAAAAAGTATCTTATATGTAGACCCGGATAACCAGCTATCACCATACCAAATTTCATCAAAATCCCTCCAGTGGTTTTTCTGTGATACGGTAACAGATAGACAGACAGACAAAAATTCTAAAAACTTTAGATTCGGCCTCTGTATCGATAATAGTGTTTTTCAAAAAAAATATTTCATGTACAGATTCGGCTTAGTTACAATTTTATTATTTGTATAGAAGTCAATTAATAGAACAAATTTCTATAAATTTTTCAGGTATTACGAACTATGTATATGGATTTAAACAAAATGGCGGACATGGTGCCTGTTGATTTGACAGTGAACGCTATCATTACATCCGCTTATCACACCGCGAAACATTTCAGAGAAAAGTAAGTTTTTTTTATGGTGCTCAGTGACAAACAAGCAGACAGCCCACCTGATGGACAGCGGTACCTGTCGCCCATAACACCTACGGTTCGAGCTTAGGTTTTATGTTACAAAAATGCAGAACCGCAGGTGCGTTGTCTCTGTGAGGACTAAGATGATATGCCTCTTGCCTGTAATTGCGCTGGCTACCTTGTCCTTCAAAACGGAACACAACAATGCAATCACTGTTGCTTGGCGGGAGAAATAGATAAGGGGGTGGTACCCATCCAGTCGGACTCCTCAGGCTTGACAGAGTCTAACCACCGGTAAAAAGTAAAGTAGAATAAACTTAGAGAAAATTTTCCAAGTCTGACTTTCTGATTTTTTGATTGTGTGTATATTTTGTATTATTCAGTATATATATATATATATATATATATATATATATATATATATATATATATATATCAATAATATTTATATATAAACATAACTGTCATATGTATTTTATAATAGCTGTCTAACACATGTTATGTAGTATTTTTAAAGATGAATAAAGCCTAATTTATACACAGGCAATCTTTCAATCCCAACAATATATTCATCTTTAAAAATACTATCACAGTTATGTTTCTAATACATATATTATATAAATAAGTGGCCAGTATTATTACTACACATAAAAACTAATTTCGATTGAGTTTGACACATTAAATTTTGTTCTATTAACTAAAGTAACGACACAGGACAGAAATTGTATTACAATTCTGTTAAAAGAGAATAAAGGCTATAGTGACGACACGTTTGGCTCAGTTTGTAGTTTGTACATGCTACGCTAGCGGTCGCGGGTTCGAGTCCCGCTGGGGGGCGGGGGCATTCATTTGTGTGATGAGCATGAATGCTTGTATTCCAGTCATGGGTGTTTATATTTATAATATGTATGTATTTAAAGTTATATATGTGTAGTGTATCAACTATCTGGTATCCATAACACAGGCCTCGTAGCTTACCATGGAAGTAGATGGTGTTGTGTGTTAATGTCCCACCAGAAAAAAAGTGACAATAATTTCGTTTTTCAGTCAAACTTCACATATTCCTATCTACAACTTCGTGTCGGGAGCCCAAAACCCCATAACGTGGGGGAAGTTCATAGAATACAACATGAAATATGGCCTCCATAATCCCACCATGAAGGCTGTATGGTAAGTATTTATTATTTATATTATTCTATAAAAAAAAATCTAAATACTTTTATACTCATAAATAATCATAAAATTATTTTTTATTAAAAAATTATTAAATTTCAGGTACTACGGATTAAATCCAACAAATAACTACTATTTGTTCTTATTTTACGATTTCTTCCTACATTTCATGCCGGCCCTTCTCATTGACTTATTCTGTACATTAATTGGGAAGAGACGAGCGTAAGTATATTAAATAAATTTAATTTTTTATTTGTTCGTTTTTTTTTTGATAAATAAAAAAAAAATTAAGAATGAAGAAATTGTTAGATAAAAGTTATAAAATTATATGTTTTAAATAAAAAAAATAAGTTTTTTTCTCCCATTTATTTTAGACTGTGGCATTTTCTATTATTCGTTCTTTTTCAAAGCATATCTATACATGTAATAAAATTCTGACTAAGTCGAATCTGTACATTAAATATTTTTTTGGAAAATCTTATTGAAATAGACATTATTATCGATTCAGAGGCCGAATCTATAGAATCTATAGTTTTTAGAATTTTTGTCTGTCTGTCTGTTACCGCATCACGAGAAAACCACTGGACAGATTTTGATGAAATTTGGTATGATGTTAGCTGGTTATTCGGGTCAACATATAGGATACTTTTTACCGCGGGAAAATATCTCATTTCTGAGAAAAATACAAAAACTGCATTGTAAGAGTATACTAATATGTAAAACCTAAGAATTTGGTTTTTGGTCATCTGAACGCGGGCGGAGCCGCGGGCAATGCTAGTCTATAATATATATGAATATATACATTTACAAATTTTAATAAAGTTCATTAAAATCCGTTCAGTCATTACTACGTTATGCTTTATCTAGCAAACATACAGATAATATCTTACAAATTTTGTTTTACCTCAACGTACTGTTAGGTACGCCCATTTGTAGTGTAGTTAATCCACACTTAATATTATAAATGTGAAAGTGTGTTTGTTTGTTTGTTTGTTTGTCCTTCTTTCACTTCGAAACGGAGTGACTGTTTGGTTTGATTTTTTATGTGGAGATAGTTGGAGGGTTGGAGAGAGACCTAGGATACTTTATCACGGGAGATTATCTAATTCCCACGGGAAAACACGTTATAATGGAATTAAAAAATATATTTATGATCAGAATTATTTGAAATTTGGTATTAATGCTCTTCAATAAAATTAAATAAATACGTGTTTTAGCATTTTTCGAAATCATGCTATAAGGGGATAAAATAGGGGATGAAAGTTTGTATGAAACTACCTTTTTAGAGATTTTTTTGTAGTTTTAGCGCGAGCGAAGCCGCGGGTTCTGTTAGTATTTTAATAAAAATTAAACATATTATATCTCTTACAGAATGTTAAAATTCTATGCGAAAGTAACAAAATTGGCGAAAATTCTGTTCTATTTCTCCACACAAGATTGGAAATTTAGTGATAACGGAGTAAGAGAAATGTGGAAGTCCTTGTCAGCACAAGACCAGGCTGTGTTCCCGTTCAGTATGGCAGAGATGTCCTGGGATTATATGGCGGAGACTTTCTTGTTAGGTGAGTTGGGAGAGATACGAGAGATTACCCTAATTCTCCGTATTTAATGTACTCAGCAAATAAGGCTAGTATGTATAAGTTAAATAGTTCTGGTTTTATATTTACAAACATTAGTTTATACATATAATAAAATTGTAACTAAGCCGAATCTGTACTTTAACTATTTTTTGGAAAATCTTATTGATATAGTCGTTATTACCGATACCGAGGCCGAATCTATAGTTTTGGGGAATTTTTGTCTGTCTGTCTGTCTGTTACCGCATCACGAGAAAACTACTGGACAGATTTTTATGAAATTTGATGATACTTTTTACTGCGGGAAAATATCTTATCTTTGAGAAATCTATACTAATTGCTAAAACGGAAAAAAAATCTCATAAAAGTCGCTACAATTGCTATTTGTTAAACTTACATTATATAAAATTCATTAACCTAGAATTTGGGGAAGAAGAGATTAGTAGGAAAAAATATCCGCTAGCTCTTTGACTATATTTATAGGTAATTAATTTTAGAATGTGAATTAATTTAAATATTGCTTTTGGAGTAAATATGTTATTTCATAATCATAATTCATATTATTTTTTGACAAGTGTGCTCGATGATTTATAAAAACCGCCGAAACGGCTAAATGCTGATTGGGCAGGTAGACAGAATGTCAGACAGTCCTCTAAAATACTACACTTTAATAAAATCACGTACGAAACCGTATCTATTCTATCTACTCTAATATTATAAAGAGGAAAAATTTGTTTGTTTGTTTGTATAGAATAGGCTTCGAAACTACTGAACCGTTTTAGATGAAATGTAAGAAGATAGTTTGAGACCCTGGGAAGGACGTAGGATAGTTTTTATCCCGGAAATCATTCCTAAAGAGGGTGAAAAGGGGGGTGAAAGTTTGTATAGGGGAGCAACCTAGCGACTACGCTAGTATTTGATAATATCACAATTATGGGGTAGTTAGCCATAATATAATTTTTATATTTCAGGTCTTAGAGTGTACTTGGTTAAGGACGACTTATCTACAATGCCTGAAGCAAGGAAAAAATGGAATAGGTACGTTTAACTGTTTTGATCTTTTTACCGAATTTAAAGACAATGAATGAATATTTTTTTTGTATATTCTTTTTTTTGAGATTTAATTCCTCCACGACCGCGGACACGCCGGCGTGTCAGTACACAATAGATTTCTTAGAATTTTAATTAATTTCTTAGAAATTTACCTGGAGGTGTTAATTATGTTTTTTTTAATGAACAGCGAGGATTTCTTTAAAACGATTTTATAGTAGTAGCACTATTAAAAAAATAATAAATATTTAATTAATACTATGGTCCTTGGCCCTTGCTCAGAGAGTAATAGGTTTATTTTACTTTAAAAGACATGTAACATTACCGTGCTACTGGCTTGATATGAAGTTCTTCTGAAAAAAACTTAAAAAAAACAAAAGATAAATTTGCTTTAAATGTCAAATTTGACATATTTAAATTATGTTATATTTTTCCCAGGTTATACTGTCTCCATCAGTTCGTGAAAATCACAACATTTAGCATCGTTATTTATTTAGGATATTTATTAATTAAAAGCTTAGTCATGTTAGTATTTGGTTAGCAGTTTCTGTAGATTAAATTATTTACCTAATATGGGATTGATGTATGCATTGATTTTTTTTTCAAAAAAGTTATGGTATCTGTGTGATGTTATATAGCATTATCTATATATATAAAACAAAATTGGGTTTGTTACAACACTAATAACTCGAGAGCTGCTGGACCGATTTTTATGTTCTTTGTTTTGTTGGATTTGTTTTCACTCCTAATAGCAGAATAACTATTAAAATATCTATAATTATTAAACTTTTCCATACCTACTAAGCGTCAAAACGGACCTAGGAACGAACTTAGCGAAACGAGGGTGAGTCGGTAGTTTACAATAAAAAGACCCACTTAATATGTGGCACTTGAAATTTCAAGAAATGGATTTCATTAGTAATTAATAAACATTCCTTTATTGTAATGGCAATCTTCAACTTCTGTCAGAGCTCCTCAACCTATATGCAAAACTATCAAATTAATTTTATTTCAAGAAAATTTCAAAAAAAAAGCAGCTCAAACTCATTCGTGTTTTGGTGCCTATAGTTTATGGTTTTATTTTTGATGAGTTCTTTATGCGGTTAAAAAAATTTAGTCACTGAATTGTGTTAAATAAATTCAGAATGAATTGTCCATTAGGGGCCGTTCAAGTATTACGTAAGCACTATGGGGGGGTGGGGGGCTCTTTGTTTTGCTTATTTTGGATGACATGGGGGGTAGGGGAGTCTAGATGATGATTACGTCAACGGTAGTTATTTACTTTTTTACACAAATGGCAACCCTCACATTGTCTATGCTTGAAAACGAAACGCATTTTTAAAAATTCCCGCAAATAATGCATACGTTTAGGCACTCGCTTTAGAACCGATTAGGGGAATTACCGCGCGCTATTATTCACTTGTCTAAATTTTCTCCGTTACTCGTTAGTGTATTGTTATTGTTATAATATTTTTGCCCCTTACTCTATGTTGAATACTGTATCAGTAAAATGTAATCTTTATCCTAAATCTATTTTCTTATTTTTAAAATTATAATTATAACATTATAATTACAATATAAAAAAAATACATTTATAATTGAAAAATGTTTACGTAAGCAAGGGAGGGGGTAAGAGCTTTGCTTACTTTTGCTGACAAGGGGGATGGGGGGGTAAATGATTGTAATAAATCTGCTTACGTAATATTTGAACGGCCCCTTAGTCAGTTCGTGAAAATTACATATAGCATCGCTATTTATTTAAGATATTTATTAATTAAAAACTTAGTCATGTTAGTATTTGGTTATCATTTTTCGATGAAAGAATAAAAATGTCTAATATTTTTTTTTAAATAAAGCAGTACGACAATTTGCGGATTAACGCCATCTATTATCTATTCAAGCAAACAAAAATAGCCCGAAGAATAGCGCGAATTAACGCTGTCCAATGTCTTTGTATGGGATGAGGCATCTGTATTAGTATAGTATTATGTCTTCTGTGCTAAGAAATTACATTAGTTTTATTATACACATACAAAATATAGCAATAATTTGACGGGTAAAAGATATTATTTGTTTATTGCGTCGCTTACAATTTGTCGTCTCAGTGTTTATTTGTATAAACGACCAATTTAACGAAAGAGATTTTAATATAGAATTATTGACGATAAAATAGGTACCTACTTACATAACAAAATATACATTTTACTATAAAGAATCCTAAGAAATGTATTTTATATACATATATATATATATATATATATATATATATATATATATATATATATATATATATATGTGGGTGTGTGTGTATATAAATCTTAGAAATAAAGCTTTGTTTTTTTTAAATACAGGAAAAAAAGTACTGTAAAGTATAGGTCGTTTGAACAAATAAGCACTAAGATGACGAATTATGTAGAATTAATTTAAGTTTTTTTTATTAATTCATATTCCACAAGGTACCACAAAACTAGATATGAATAGGGAATTTAGATCTAATAATAACCCACAGATTATAATTAAATTTTATATAAATTTGGAAATTATTATTTGAGATTAGGTAGGTAGGTAGGTATATAAAATGCTAAATTATATGAAATTTATTTTTTTTATACATACTTGGGTAATTTTAAGTATTATTTTTTAAACGTAGCTTTAACGAAAGTCGAAATTAAATTTTGATGAAATAAATGTATTTATGTCACATTTATTTAAGAGACTGAGCTCTGAAAAGAAAACAAATAACTTTGTACGCGGCCATCTTGTATTTTTATTGTTCATGTAGAAAATAAATAATGTGATGTAAAGAGATTATATAAAATACTTTTTTACTGCACAAAATAAAGTTTTTAAATTTTCAAATATGTGTTATTATTAGCAACCTGTAATTCGTTTTATTTATGGTATAAGGTATTATCCTGCCCTGAGCTAACTTAACAGGCACTCAACAAGCCATCTGTATACGGGATCCTATATGTATGATTCAACGAGTGTCACGTGTGTGCGTTGACTGAAAAACCTTTTTTTTTTTTTTAACGTTGGGAAATGCATTTACGCACGACGTGTGGGACTCACCGGCGTAATACAGCCAGTACTACCCACTAAAACCCAACAAAACCTTCCCCCGTCTTAATGGGGTGTCGCAGGATCGCTTACGCATTCAACTACGATGCCCCGACGGCAGGCCTGCCGAAGCAGACCAACACAACCATGGGGTTGCTCCACAGTCCACTCTGCTATCAGAGAAGTACCAGGAGCAACCCGCATGGTACACCGCCCCCCGAAGAGGGCCACCTCCCACCGCCCACCGAAGTGGGCAACCTCCCTGTGCGTTTCTTAGCTTCGCGCCCGGTTGGATTGCCGGGCGCTACTGAGCCCCCCCACCACGACAAGGTGAACGCACGTTGGGGGGGTGACTGAAAAACCTAACTTGGCTCGACCCGGGTCTCGAACCCAGGACTTCCGGATCTGCAGCCGTATACTAGCAACTAATAATAAAATATTAATCCCATATAAAACAATTTACGCTGAACCTATTTGGATGAAATTTTGTACACCGATAGTATATGAACTGGAGTAACATATAGGCTTCTGGTAGATAGGCGAGGGTAAGTCGCTAATATAGAACACTTTCTAAACTAAATGCAGTAGCACATTATTTAGAAATGACGGAAAAAAACTCAAAATCCTAAAATATGGTTTCACGAATAATACCCATTTCTGTTTTATTCCCATACCAAGTTTGAAATTTCCCAACCAAAAAAAATTTAGAAAAAGAAATCCTACCAAGCATAAATGAAATCAACAATAATCGTCTTTTGCTGAATATCAGAACTGTTAATACTAATGTTTTGACAATTTATTTTAATAATTTTAATTTATTTATATTCATTTCCTGAAAAAGATATTAAAATATTATAGTAAATATCTTTTTTTGTAAAAGCATTTTATTACCAACTATACAATATAACAATAATTATTTTTACATGCAAATAATTTCATAATATTGATAAAAAAACACCTTTGTTATGCAAAATGTTATTTTATAATTACACTTTTATTTTTTACCTGATTTTCTGTTGTAATATAAATCAAAATATTATTAATATATTACAAAAAAAAAAACAAATAAAGAAAAAACACTTTTTTTACTTTTACAAGGAAAAGACAAAAATGATAATAATTATGTACACTTATATTTAAATTCTCACATTACAATCACATTTTATAAAACATTAAAATTGAGGAAACGTTAAAGGAAAAATTAAAAAAAAGAGGTTTTTCCATCCGAAAAAATGTTCAAAAAGCTTATTTTCTAGAAGATAATACTTTGAAAATGATGTCACCTACATACTCTTTCAATGATGAACATATTTTAATTTTGTATTTGTTTATTTTAAAAAATATATATTTTCTTTTTATTAAAAAAAAGTATTAAAAATACTATAGGCCTACTACGTTTCTTCGGTATTTTCTCTCAGGACTGAGGATTATTTCCGAAGACGAAGGAGTTTTTGACAAACAATAAGAGTATTTCTGATATTGGATAAAGAATATTAAATTCTTCAAAAGACATGTACATATATTATTTCTTTTTTATTTAATTTTTTATTTTGAATATTAAAATTGGACTTTTTACTTAATGTCAAAATTTAAAGAACTCAAAGTAATTCAAACCAATTTCTTATTTCTTAAAATTTTTATACATTTATACGGTAGAGTAAAATAGTATTTTTTTTAAATAATGCTCCTCTATTTTTTTATATTCCCATAACATTTCCCTTATATATACAAAAATATTTACTAATAAAAGCTTAACAATATAGACAGCTGTTGCGTATAAATTAAAAATAAAATATTATTTTTTTTATTTCTTTTGAAATCTATGTAAAAAATAAAAAAATAAGATTGATCTTTGAATAAAAAAACTTAACCTATGTATATGTATGTCTTTTTTATGTGCTTTAGTAACAAGTTATTGTTATACATGGTGTGAATAAGTCGACAAGTTGAATGTTTTTATCATTTTCCATACAATGTAACCAGTGATGTAACATGAAAAAACTAGCTTTTTTACTAGGGTTAAAAAATAACGAACTAAAATTAACTACCTTAATAAATTTAGGTTCTGTACTCAAGAAAAAAACATGTTTCTGAAAAAAAAACAGTTTTTTCATGTTTTTTTTTTCACGATAGAAAAAAAGTTTTTTTGCAACACTGAGATACAAGATATATAATTTTATTAATGACAAAATTACTTCTTTTATAATCTGTACATGATTAAAAAAATGGTTCGCATGAATATAAGAAAGAGATAGAGATGGGAAAAAAAATATAATATTTTTTCAAGTACATACTTTCTTAGATTTTCGCGAATATGTGACATTTTAAATAAAACTATCTTTTCGGATTTTTTCGCAGATTTATTTTGATTGGTTCGTTTCGAATGCTTTGCACATGGCCCGGGATACACTGAGTTAAAAAATCCGAAAAGATAGTTTTATTTAAAATATTTTATTTTATCTTTCTTTACTTGAAAAC